ATTTTGAATTCACCTTTTGGGAGACCCTGAAAAAATTGACGGATTTTCAGCTGAAGCAGATAATTTTTCTAAGAAAGGGATTGCAAAGCCATTGCATATGAGATTTGTAATGATGTTTCCAAATGAAAAGACATATCCACGTAAGATAGATTTGACAAAATATGGTCAGTAGTCATGTGAATACATTATAATGCGAATGAGGTAATCCAAAAATAAAAAGGATTTGACAAAATATGGTGAGTACTCATGGACATATGATATAAATTATGTAATCCAAAAATAGAAAAGGTGAATAATTGAGATGAAGCAAACATCTTGAATGACTTTAATTTTTGTATCTGCATTTTGAATATTGAGCATTGTCTTGGCTGTGTTATATGGCCTTTTTTCTTCTTTTCCTTTGAAGTAATTTTGCTTTATTAACATAGCTAACCAAGAGAAAATATATATTATACATGAAAGATTTTTTTTTTATAATTAGTTTTGATTATTAACATAATGATTATTATGATGTTAAAATGTGAATGACAATTAAAAACAGAAGTAATAAGAGAGAATCCTTCCAAAAATCAAGGAATAGGGTAAACAGGTGAGATAGGAGGGATTAAGAATTGTAGAGCCATCTCTGTGTAAACAATCATTTAACAAAAATTACAGTGGACATGGTATTTTTTTGCCATTGGGAGTTAAAGATTTATTCGATAGTGGGTGATATTTTTTATGGCTATTTTATGTTGGTAATAACGTTCTGAGCCATTCTTTAACTTGTCAAGTGCAGACTAGGAAAGACGGAGCCAAAAGTAAAGGAGTCTTTAGCCCTGGTATTGGTGAATAGCCAGTTTGTATGCTGCCAAAAGTTGTCTTTTGGTGTATAAGCAGGCATTATTTTTATTTATTTATTTATTATTTTTTTTTATTATAATTACAATTAGAAGTGATTTCCGGGCAGAGTAGGACAAGACACATCTTGCCAAAGACAGAAGACAAGGCATTGTTTGTAAAAATGAAGTAAATTTCATGCAAGAGAAATTAACCCCTTGGACCTGGATGATGATGCGGTCATGTCAAGGAAAAACTTGGGCAGCTGCCAGGGTACATGAATATGCCATCAACCGGGCAAATGGACGACAGCCCAGGTGATGCGAGCAAACCGTCAAGAGCGAAGGCCAGGGTGATGGAAAAGACTCACCACGAGTGCACAAACCTCTTGGAAGTGCGATTTGACCCATTTGGCTCTTATAGAGGGGCTTTAGCATAATTCCCATCGACAAACAAATGTGGAATGTAAGCAGCAGTGACTGGAAGAGCGCCGGCTCCAAGGACGCCATTTCCATGCTGTGTACCGTATTCCTGGCTGCAGGTTGTATTCCGTAAATCTTCTTCTTCTTCTTCTTCTTCTTCTTCTNTCAAAAGACTAATATGGACATTGGAAAATGGTAATAAAGTAAAAAAAAGTTTACACAAAATAACTTTTCAAAGGGGAGGTACAGTCTTATCACTGCTCATGGGTGTTCGTGTACGCCCGGCCTACGTGCCACATGCCCGGGATGTTGGCCACTTACGTAACCCATTGCCCAGGGTTTTCAGCTCCGTGATTTCCGTCATGCGTCCGGATCCAAGGGGTCAATATGAAAGAAAAATTATTGATGTAAATGAGAGAAATTATTTTAATAATCAATGATGCTTATCTGACGTAACACATGCTGCATGATAATAAGGTTGATGTACTCCTGATATTTCTGATTGTGATAGCCAGGGAATCTTTTGGTTAAATGAAAAAGAAAAATATGGAAAATGTGTTTTCCTTTCTGTTATAATTAATTCAAATTCCCATTTATATAAGATAAGCACTGGAAGAGCTAGTGGTTAAGATATTTTTGTACATGTGTTATAAAGGTTCACTGAACTGACATTTACAGTATTTTGATCTCTAACAGGTGGCCAGAGTACTTAGAGGATTATTTAGAGTTCTGTTAAATTAGTAATAAAGAAGATATGTATATATACTGGATGTACATAAGAAAAGAGAAGAGCAAAAAGTGAGCACTTCAACTTTAATTATATTTATATATATTGCAGAAAAAAAGGATCACTAGTGTTTGGAACATTTTATAGCTGTGACTTAGTTTTATATCTGTAATTTTACAAGCCCTTGACCCTTCCAGGTAAAGGGTCTGTGGAGGAGGTAGAAGTTGATGGGAAGGATGCATCGGAGGGCGCGGGGGAGGCTGGGGAGGCTGGCCTGGAGGAAGGGGCCATGCCGCAGGTCGTCTCCATCATCAATAACAGACACCAGGTAAGAAGCTCTGGCAGTTCTTGAACTCTGAATTGAGCTGAGAAAATATAAATGATAAGAAATTTTGTGATTTCTTGTATGTTTGTGTATGTGAGGGTGCATGCGCATGAGTGTGATTGTACTAGCATGTTTATGTTTTTAACTTAATTAAATGGGTCAGTATCACTTCCAGGGAAGTGAAAGTGTGTCTAATGATGACCTAGTAACAGTGGTTGAGGGACAGCATGAGGAGCAAGCATTGTCCGTTCCCCAAGATGAAGCTCAAAAAAATCAGGTCAGATTAGATTATACTGAAGTTTGATACACAAAGTGCCAATCAGTACTCCTTTTTTTTTTTTTTTTTAGCAATTTATTAAAATTGTGATAATTTCTACAAGTTTAACTTTTCCACACACAGGAAATACTGAAAGAATTGGAGGAGGCTGAGACTGCAGAAGAAATCCTGGTAGCTGCAGTGAGATATGTAAATTTGCGTCAAGAGCAAGAGAATGCCAAAGGAAATACTCCATTATTAGATCATCCATCATCATCCATCGTGACAGAACTGCAGAGTCTGCTGGTTCGCAAGACAGCCTCAGACCCAAGTCTCCTGAGGTCGCTGCTGAGTGTCCACCTGCGCGAACTCATGGCCGTTTTGCAGCAGGCCACCCCAAGCCCAGCTGACTTGGATGCCTCCATCCACCAGCTCCTGAACCAGTTGTCAGCCTTCAGCACGAAACCCCCACAGGAGAACACAAAGAAGCCACTGACGACTGCCCCGGCCTCTCCCCAGGGGGCGGCACAGAAGGGGGACTTCCATGAGAACAGACTGGAACATCTCACTGAAAAAATTCAGGAAAAGATCAGAAAACTTAAGAAGAAGTACGAAGGGTTGATCCCACAGCACATAGAGGGCTTGCTCAGTGATTTGGAAGGCACTTCTCCCCCCAATACCAAAGATGCAGACAGGAAAGATGAATTATAATAGAGCCATATTTTTTGTGTGACGTTTTGATAATATAAATCCATGTTAGATTATGTTTACCATATTTGTTATCCTTATCCTTTATTTTATTTTATCTTCATTTTGTTTTGGTTTATTTATTCAGATTTATTTGGTTCAGGTGCATAATGTAATAAGAAATTACAAAGATACTCAGAATGGTGGATAAAACTGATGTTGATTCTATGCCACACTGATGATATTTCATTGCACAGACACTGACTGGAGGATGCTCAGGGGAGCTGCTTGTCACTGTGATATTTGACATTAGTGGAGCAGTCATGTTGTGTGCGGTTTGTACAGTCAAAGTTTTATTATGGTACTTTCAAACATACAAAGTGCTCATGCATATTCCTTATCATGTCTCTCTAAACTGAGGCATTTGTGTATATATTGGATACGAAGGAGTGCACCATTTTCTCACAAGTTCAATAGTACTGAAAACATTCCAGAAGAGAGACAGTGAACACTGAGACAATACTAACTTAAGCCATACCTGTACAGAAGCCTACCTGATGATAGCAGACAACCATCGATCGAGTGCAGCGAGATCAGTACCAGTGACAGTTCTTGGCAAAGCTCATTTGAATTGATGTTGCGATCTCTAGGCATAACAATTCTTCCAGTTGAAAGTACGACAGAAAAGAAGACTGCTTTTGAACTCATAAGGACATTGTGATATTGCATAGAAGTGAATATGCATAGCATTCATTAGTAGGCTCCTCACCCCACAGAAGTTCAATTAAATGTAATGCCATTTCTTCCCTTTCATGCAGTTTATTTATTGATTTTGTAACATAATTGTGTAAATGTTATAAGATGTAATTTAATATGTGCAGTTACAAACAAATCCATCCTATTGAAATTTAGGCATTTGCCAAGAGCAGAGGGCAAAGAATCTTTGTTCTGGCTGATTCTCACACCTGTTTGACTCCCTGAGAGCTAGTTCCCCGACAAGGTGTAAAAGGTTTAATTTTCATTCCTGGAAATATTCATGCCTTCATCATGTGCACTTTATATTTCTCTTTTTCTTTCTTTTGTTCTCCGTTTGTCACTATTGGAAACAAAAGGTTTTAAACATTTATTTGCAAGGGAATAGGGAATTGAAAATATACAACTTTCACCTCCTTGGACTCGTTAGTTAAACATACAACTGTACCTTACCTGATGCTTTCCCTTTCCTCCCCAACCTTCAGTCCTTCCCTTCCCCCTCCCTTAAGCTTTTTCAGAAGCCATGCACCGCCACCTGGCCATGCACACTGGGTAAGCCAGCATCACATCATTATAACTTATTGTCCTGTTCTCTGTTGAACTCTCATCACATACTTCACCCATTGTATTTCATCTCTGTGGTGTATTGCTTGCAGCATCTCTCGCAACCACATTCATATTAGGTTAAAGGAAGCAAGAGGAAACCATGTATTTTCTTTTTATATCTTTGCTTTTCTTTTCTTTTCTTTTCTTTCTAAGTTAGGCCATTTTTTGTGGGACAATTGAAGATGAAGATACTTGCTTTAATGAATTCTGTAGCTTTAACATAAGTCAAAGTAGATTTCCTGTGTCATTTCACCTCTTTCACACTTAAATTGCATTCTTTCCATGTTATGGCTAATGCACTGCCTTATTCCTCATAGATATAAATTTTATAAAGAGAACTTGTTGTTTGTTAAAATAAAGAAGTTGAGGGGATATGAGCATTCCTTAATGTAGTAATACAAATGCTGTAGGTATTCCTTTATTAAACTTTCAGCCAGAACATGGAATTCACTTATGATTGGCCGTAGCAGGTGTGGGTGCTATACAGACTGGGTCTGTCTCCTGTTCCTGTGTGTATGTGTGTGCGTGTGTATCAGCAGGTGTGCACCAGTGTGTTTTTATCATAATGTGCTAGGGTTACTGTAAAAACGGAAAAAAGTTTTTAATAAAGGTTAAAGAAAATTTACAAGTGCATTTATTATTATAAAGGCCTAATAGTGAATCTGAAATGGATTTCAGAAACTTTAAATGTTACTTATTTTACTTTCAGTAAAAACTTGAGCAAAATCAATAGCTTCTTGAATTTTAAATTAATGAGAAATATTGGTTCATAGAGATGCCCTGCTATTATCATATGCTGCAAATCCTATTTCAAATTACTTTTGTAAACTTTAGTTTTAAGGCTGTTCTTACTTGAATACTCATAATGTACTCAATATACCCAACCAAATTTGTCATACACCAAATTTTTTGTGCATGGTTACAACCATTCTGTATCAGTATGGGAATATCAATAATAATAAAAATAAGTGAATGAATAAAAGAAAAATGAAAAAAATGCACCTCACAGAATAAAGAAATTGGTGATGAGGGGAAATGAAAAGACCACTCAGTCCAGCATTGTCACTGAGAATGCCTGGTCCGCCTGCCATGCTTTGGAGGCTAAACGTTTTCATTTTTCAGTCTTCCTCAAAAGTGTATTATAGTTGATGTTTTTAATACAACCTTAATCACAAAATTATTTTCTGGTCAAGATTGCAAAAAAATGTCAAATAATTAACTTCGCTACCTGGAATTTCACATTTGCTCCTATATTAGTCACGAAGTATGAGAGACAGTGACAACATTTCAGTCTGACATGAAAGACAATATAAGGAAACTAATATGGATTCTTTTTTTCTTTTATTGAGTGTTATTCTGTTTTCTGAATATAAAAGATATATTTCAAACTTCCTATTTGCAATAACTAGATGATCTGAGTCACACAATACAGATAGGATGCAGCAGTCACAACTTTTGTGTTCAAAAGGGGGGGGGGGATTATTTTCCTAGTCTCTAACTTACTTGCGTTTGTTATGGAACCTATGGAGCTTCACAGTCACAAGAAAAGTAACCAAACACACGCAGTCCAAAGAGAGTAGTGACACAGCATGTGTGGAATTTCCATAATAATAATCCTTTTACATCCTTTAAACAAAGGCATTATCTCCACAAAGGTAAACTTTCTGCCTAGAATATGTTCAACATAATAAAATGTAACCTAAAAGTTATTCACTTCTCTGCTATAGTTCGAAAGATATAATATTGCATAATTCTGATAACAGTACAAATTTCTTCCGTACAAAAACATCAAAACACTTTTTCTGTAATCTGAAAATAATGGCTACTCAACCCAAAGCTGCCAGGAACATGCAATGTTTCCTGCAGTATTATTTTCTGAAATGTTTTTACACACACGGCTCCACAAGTGACCGAGGAGTACATCAGTTGACCTACATGACCTGACCTGATTTCTCTCTTCCTTGAGCTTTGGGGATTTTTTTCTAGTGCTATTAATATTGATGTTGTTATCAATACTGGTGATGTAATTATTAGTGTTTTTAAGAATACAAAAAGCAATATAAAATTAAAAAGAACATTTCTGAAGAATCAAGGAAAAGGCTAAGCAGGTGAGATAAGTAAGATGAGTAACTGACTCCTCGGTGACTAAGCACTTGTGGAGACAACTATGTGTACATACAATTAAGATATTGAACTCACTTTGGGTACGACATGTACGTACATGTCATCCCCGGTGGCACTGGGTTAAAAGCAATATAAACTTTGTATGTTCCTGGGGTATTCAGATTACAAAAGACAGTTCTCCAATATGGATTAACTGAATAAGCACTACATTTAAGTAAATTCTTAACCCACTTGCGACGGGTGTCACATATACGTGACTTCTGGAATAAGGACCATGTCCAGGTGTCCCACCGGTGCAATGCTAGATCGGAGCTTGCACTCTTGCACTTTTTGTCGCCCGAGGCGGGCGGCACACAGACAGATTCCTGGATTGGCCTGTGTGCTGATTTTGATACCACCCGGAAATGAGGATTATCACCCTCCAAACGGACCATCGTGGGTGGGTTAAGGTCCATAAACACATATTGGGCAGAACAAGAGATTGACAGAAATAACATTTTCCATAAAAATTTCCAGAACTATTAACCATAAAAAGTTTCAAAGAATGCTGCAACTTGGGGCCTAATATAGCCATACATATAGTTCCAAGAAGAGTCATTTATAATGTTTGCCACAAAGTACTTGAGGAGAACACATTACTCACTTTCTTCTTCACTTCCACTAGTCTTGTCTTCTTCACTCTCATCCTCACTAGAATCTGTTTCCTCAACATATACCACAGGTCTATTTGGATTTTCCATTAAAAGATCATCATCATCATCGTCATCATCTCCACTTTCTTCATCACTTTCGACATCATCTTTCAGCTTTATTCTCTCAAGTTCTTTGCTTGCCTCCTTCTCATCTTTCTCCTCATCTTCATGCTCTGAAAAGCCTGCTGGCCACTTGTTGTTTTGCACTATGTACCGGATGTGGTCCTTCATCAAAATGCGGACAATTTCAGCCCTCACTTTGTTGCCCTCCGGGATGGGCTCTGTCACTACATAGTCACCTCGCTTGATCCACACATGTTTGCGGAACTTGTGTGGCATGGAGACTAGGAACTCCTCCCCATCTGGTGTGGTCACCTGAGTTGGAAAGGAAATCGATGAGTAGCTGAGAGCCAGGAAAATTTGTTCATTTCTAATAATGGCACTATTTGGCTTGAAACCAGCCTTATGTTATCTATACAACTAGTGTATAGGAAATCACAAGGCTCAAAAATAAATATCTAAATAAATGTGTACTTTACTCATTCACTGATGTGCAGGATTCATGCTAAACAAGAAAACACAAGAATATGCCGAAAGCCTTTATGCTCTATTGTTTTTGGAGGGCCTGAAGAATATAACCAAGAGGCCCTTGGCATTTTCTTGTATAAATCCTTTTCCCATTGTTATTTTATTTATAACATTCTCACTATGATTAATAAAGTTTCAATGTATATACTGACAAAAATATGTAAGATGGGCACATAAACACTCACCTGGTGTAAATTATTGCCTCGTGGTCTTACAACCTTCACAATGGATTGGTGTTCTTCCGGCAGAGAATAGTCCTCGTACAACTCACGTTCTACATGTTTCTTTTTGGTTGTAACAGACATTATGATCTTATCGATGATGTTTCATATAGAAGACCTGCAAAATATCATGGTTTCAAAATGCAATAGTTTATACACAGAATATATTACCAATGTTGCTATATGCAAAATACTGGTTCTGATGACTGGCTTTTATAATGAAAATTATTGATGATATATGTTGCCTGCCATCTATCAAATCTTGGCTCTGTTGCCTGTCATCTATCAAATTTTGATTCTGTCAACCATACATAAGAGGGATATTATGAAACTGATGGAGTACAGTAAAATAAAATGTTTAAAGTTTAATGTTTGAAACAATTATATGTGCTAGACATCAAAAGGTCAAATGGCACTATGATAAAGTATTGTGACAAAAAGGGTAAAGAGGAGTTAAAGATTAGGGTAAAATGTGTTAGATGTCAATGATTAGAGAGCGTCACAGGATAGTATGGTAGTGAAAAGCGAAAAGAGAAGAGCATATGAAGTAAAGCAGAAATTAGCAAAAGAGGGAGAGGTTAAGGGGGTAGAGCGATTGTGTGAATTGCAGTGTATCTGTGACTGGGGAAGGAAAGACCACTGCTGTAAAATGTCCACCAATCCATAACCCAAGCAATCACTTTGGTCTCTAGCAAAGGGAAAAGCACTATGCCAGGAGTCAGTGCAACAGGGCAAACCCAAGACCTTGTACTGATATAAATGACTGTAAACGCTGAGCAGTTTGGACCCTTCCTTGCTCTTTGTACAGCACGGATAATTAATCTCCTTTCAGAGAGTGAGAGAGATAGAGAGAGAGAGAGAGAGAGAGAGAGAGAGAGGAGAGAGAGAGAGAGAGAGAGAGAGAGAAGAGAGAGAGAGAGAGAGAGAGAGAGAGAGAGAGAGAGAGAGAGAGAGAGAGAGAGAGAGAGAGAGAGAAGAGAGAGAGAGAGAGAGAGAGAGAGAGAGAGAGAGAGAGAGAGAGAGAGAGAGAGAGAAGAGAGAGAGAGAGAGAGAGAGAGAGAGAGAGAGAGAGAGAAGAGAGGGAAGGGAGAAGAGAAGAGAAGAGAGAGAGAGAGAGAAGAGAGAAGAGAGAGAGAGAGAGAGAGAGAGAGAGAGAGAGAGAGAGAGAGAGAGAGAGAGAGAGAGAGAGAGAGAGAGAGAGAGAGAGAGAGAGAGAGAGAGAGAGAGAGAGAGAGAGAGAGAGAGGGAGAGAGAGAGGAGAGAGAAGAGAGAGAGAGGAGAGAGAGAGACAGAGAGAGAGAGAGAGAGAGAGAGAGAGAGAGAGAGAGAGAGAGAGAGGAGAGAGAGAGAGGAATGAGAGAAAGAGAGAGAGAAGAGAGAGAAAGGGAGAGAGGAGAGAAAGAAGAGAGAGAGAGAGAGTCGAGAGAAGAGAGAAAGGAAGAGAGAGAGAGAAAGGAGAGAGAGAAAGGAGAGAGAGAGAGAAAGGAGAGAGAGAGAGAAAGGGAGAGAGAGAGAGAGAGAGAGAGAGAGAGAAGAGACGAGAGGGAGAGAGAGGAGAGAGAGAGAGGAGAGAGAGGAGAGAGAGAGAGAGGGAGAGAGAGAGAGAAAGAGAGGAGAGAGAGAAGAGAGAGAGAGAGAGAGAGAGAGAGAGAGAGAGAGAGAGAGAGAGAGAGAGAGAGAGAGAGAGAGAAGAGAGAAGAGAGAGAGAGAGAGAGGGGAGAAAGAGGGGAAGGAGGAGGAGGAGAAGAGGAGGAGGAGGGAGGAGGAGGGAGGAGGGAGAGGAGGGAGAGAGGAGAGAGAGAGAGGAAAAGAAGGAAAATAGGAAATAGGGAAAGAAGAAAAGGGAGAGGGAGAGGGGAAAGATGAAAGAAGAGAGGGAGAGGGGGAGCAGGAAAGAAGAGAGGGAAAGAGGGAAAGAGGAAAGAAGAGAGGGAAAGAGGAAAGAGGGAGAGAAGAGGGAGAGGAGAGGAGAGGAAGAGGAGAGGAGAGGGAGAGGAAAGGAGAGGGAGAGGAGAGGAGAGGAGAGGAGAGGAGAGGAGAGGAGAGGGGAGGGAGAGGGAGAAGGAGAGAGAGGGGGAGGAAGATGAATATAAAGTTCTGATTCTGATTCTGATTCACTTGAATTGTCTGTTACAAACTCAAAAAAGAGTATAAAACTGTTCTTCTTATGACTGGCCTGTTGGTCTAAAGCCAGGCTTGTTTGCTTGTCTGAAGACAAACTGAATGTCACAACATCCTTTTTGCCATGAAATGATTGTTTCCAGACAAAAGTGCTTCAGTTAAAACTAAAATTGCAGCATCTTCGTCCCTCTAATGTTTGTCAGTTTCAGGTGAAAGTCAAAGCAGCTGCTGCAAAAACTTTACTTTTATATCACTCAGCCTTTTTATTTTCATATAAAACAAAAAAGAAAAAATGCGGCATATTAACAGTATGAATTCATAAGTCTGTTAGACTAAAGCACTGTTTACCATGTTGGTGATATTTGTTGCACACACACACAAACAAAGTTATTAACTTTTCTATTTAATTTTACCAAAAGAAGCAAATTATGAAAAACTTGTGCGTAGACAAGTTGTCATAAATACTAACATTATGGATATTGGTTACTGCTCTTGTATGTGATATCAAAGGCATCACTGGGATACCCAGTCCATGCAACATAAATATCTCCTGTAGAAAAGGTATGACTGAGAATGAATATCGCTACAATATCAGAGATGTATTTGACCAGTATCTAATATATCTTCGTCAGACGGAAAACATCTCATGTATTGTGAAGATATTCACTTTCATTCATATCTTTACCATACGGTAATGAATACCTTCCACAAAAATCCTCAGAAGAGTCATAGTGACTGCATGATCTGCATATACTCTCTATATGTATATGAATGTCTAAAATCAAGAGTAAGAACTGTGTATAATTATGTAAAGACAACAACTGGATGACTACCTGTAGTAATTCCTCAACTTTTTTTCTGTAACTGGCGAATGCTCCTTCTGCTGTGCCCCTCATGATGGTACTAATGCAATGTGACGCAATAATTCTATCAAGAGCCGATACGGTCACATTTAGGATATATCATTGCAATGCTATAAATTTACTCCAGTCGTTAACAATATAATGTTACAAAACCACAGAAAAATCCTCGTATAACTAAAGACACGATTTAAAACCAACGAAAATTACAACACGTAACGAAACTCCTACATTGCTAATGACCTTTCACCTGGTCTCAGCCTGACATCCTCATCTACACAAACCAGCCAAACTTCCTTGACTGACCCCACTCCCTTATATCTAATATCCTGTCACCTCTTCACACTATTCATATTTACCCAATCAGAGAGAATCATGTGGCTTGCGAAGGAAATTTGCTAAAACACGACGTCTTCTGTGTTTTGGTTTCTCGTTCACGTCGACTCCGTTTTCATAACAAGAGCGGATTCGGAAGGCAACGTTCTTTTAGGAAATCAACTCTGTTGTCTGGCGGTGATTGGTTGTGATTTAATTGGAAAACGATAGGAATTTTTCAGTATCTTTAGTAATCAATTACTTTAGATTATATAAAATGAGTTGAAGAATTCCAGATGAACCTATTTCGTTGAATTTCTTAAAAAAAGAATCCTAAATGGGCGAAATTGATCTTCCATCTTTTCAAAGAAAACAAAACTTACGCGAACACACGAGAAACTAATAAATAACATTCGACTTTAAGAGAAAATGAAAGAAACTATATAGTCTAAAATCCTAAGAAAAAAGAAGAAAGAAGAACTTAAGGAATTCCATATCAGTAAGTTTACAAGGACTGTCATAAAAATCAAATCTGAATCAAATCCTCAGATTACAACAATTAATGTATATAATTAAAATACGATAATGATAATGATAAGAATAAATATAATGAGTTAGAACAACAAATTAAAAACGTTTACCATCGAATTATTACAGTGGTGACAAATACAATGATAAAATATACCTGGTGATGGTAGTGTTGGGGATCGTGGCGATGCCCATGATGGCTTGGTGGTGGGACTGGTGGTGATATGGTGGTGATGGTGGTGATGTTGGTGATTGTGGTGGTGGTGATATTTAGAGGTGGTGGTGATGGTGATGGGGGTGATGATGGTGATGGGGTGATGGTAGTGGTGATAATGGTGGTTGGTGATAAGGGTGGTGATGGTGATGTGGAGGTGGATATGATGGCTTGGTGGTGATGAAAATGGTGGTGGTGATGATGGTGGTGGTGATAATGGTGGTTGTGATGGTGATGATAATGGTGGTCGTGGTTGGTGATGGTGGTGATGGGGGTGATGGTAGTGGTGATGATAAGGTGGTAATGGTGGTGGTAATGGTGATAGTGATAATGGTGGTGTGATGGTGATGATAATGGTGTGGTGATAATTGTGGTGGTGGGGATGGTGGTGGTTTATGGTGGTGATAGTGGGTGATAATGGTGGTGGTGGTGATGGTGATAATGGTAGTGGTGGTAGTGGTGGTGGTGATGGTGATGATGCTAATGTGGTGATGATGGTGGTGTTAATGGTGGTGATGGTGATAATGGTGGTGATGGTGGTGATGATAATTGGTGTGATGGGGGTATGATAATGGTGGTGGTGGTGATGGTAGTGGTGGTAATGGTGGTGGTGTAAAGGGTGGTGATAATGGTAGTGGTGGTGATGGTGGTAATGAAAGATGTCATGGTGATGTTATGGGTAATGTAGGGGGTAGTGATACTAATGCGGTGATGATGATGGTGTGGTGATGGTGTAGTGGTGATTATGGTGACGACGGTATTGCTGCTGGCACGGCCAATGATGGTGATGACAATGATGATGACTCGAAGATGACAAGCGATCCGACTCTCGCTGACTCAACAGGGACGGCTTCAATGTTGGTTGGGACGCGTATCATGGCGGGGAGAGGGCGGGCCAGGGGGGTTGGAGGGGCTGTCGTCGTCGCCTTTTACGACACTTGCTGACGTCCATTGGAAGCATTTTCTTCATGGCCCTTTATCCACAGGATTTGTATATATATATATATATATATATATATATATAATATATATATATATATATATATATAATATATATATATATATATGTATATATGTATATGAATATATTATATAATATATATATATATATATATATATTATATATATATATATATATAATATATATATATATATATATATATATATATATATATATATATATATATATATATATAAAGAGAGAGAGACAGAGACACACATACACACTAGCAGCACAAAATACATGCACACACACACTCACACTCACACGCATATATATATATATATATATATATATATATATATATATATATATATATATATATATATATATATATATATAGATATAGATTAGATAGATAGATAGATAGATAGATAGATAGATAGATAGATAGATAGATAACAAAATAATAAAAACAATTGAGGATAATAATCACGAGATTAATGGCGGTTATAATGCTGATAATGATGTTAATGAAAACATCAAAGACTTTGGCAAAAATGATGATGATGACGACGATAATGATGATGATAATACTACAGTAATATTGATAGTGATAATGATGATTATCTCTCTCTTCCTTTTCCAGCATTTTTCTTTTTTCTTTCTCTTTCTCTCTCTCTCTCTCTCTCTCTCTCTCTCTCTCTCTCTCTCTCTCTCTCTCTCTCTCTTCTCTCTCTTCTCTCTTCTCTCTTCTCTCCCTCTCCCTCTCCCTCTCCCTCTCTCTCTCTCTCTCTCTCTCTCTCTCTCTCTCTCTCTCTCTCTCTCTCTCTCTCTCTCTCTCTCTCTCTCTCTCTCTCTCTCTCTCTCTCTCTCTCTCTCTCTCTCTCTCTCTCTCTCTCTCTCTCTCTCTCTCTCTCATCAAATTCCCTGTTTGAGAGTGACCAATAAAAATAAAAAGAGAATGGCGGCCACATGCTATTCTTTTCTCTTTTTTGCGAGTTCTCTAATTTCTAAATGGAAAACATTCAAACTCAAATGCATAAAACCGATGTATATCAAAATAAGCTGTTAATATAACCAGAGTGGATATTCGAAAGGTTAGATATCAAAAATTTAAATTTTTCTCCCTCTTTTGCATAAATAGTAAATAAAACTCAAACTCGAACGCAAAGGGCATATTTTCGTCCTCCACCAAAACATAAAAACAAAAAATCTCGGTAAATAGCTACTCAGCTAAAAAATTACCAAAATAACTCGAATTACTTTAAAATCCCACAAAGAACACCTTTTAAAGCCGAATAAATACCACAAGATACCCAACGATCCACGAAAGAGGAAATAAAAGTGGCATTTGATCTTTTGTTTACAAGCTCGGAGTTCAAGCAGGGAAGCGAACACGAACGCTCTCGCTCATGTATCTCGTCCTCCTCTTCCCTGTTTTAGCCCGTTTTACCCGCTTCTTTTCCGTTTTTAGTGCGTTTAACCCCGTTTAGTGCGGTTACCAACACCATTACAAGAGAGGAGTCGCAGGCTGAGCTCCGGGACTGAAGGAGAGTCGTGCATCTCGAGGAGGAACAAGTGAGTTTGTTTTTTAAAATAGTGTGAAGTGATTTTTTAGGGAAATTATTAATAGGAGAACCTCCCCAGGCGATGCATTGGTCTCTACGCTCTGCACTCTGCCTGGGGCCACGAAACCTCCGTCGCCTCTATTGTGGCAACAGAGTTTGCTTGGGCGTCTTCCGTGAAGATAAAACACTTGATCTACAAGTTGTTCTGCCAGAGGATGCGAGGCAGGGTGCGGGTCTGCTGGCTTCACTGGAGGGCAGAGGCCATGGCATCTCTTGGGAAGTTTTTCCTCGAACAATCACAAGCGAGTTTGAGCTTGCCTTTTCTGGGTGCAAATTCATTTTACAAAGTGTACACGTAGCTGTGAACCAGCTATGTTCGAGAAACACTTATTTTGCCGTAGTGTGCTCTGACTTGGTGGCAAGTCTGAGCTTGCGCAACATCAGACTCACTGTGATTGGTTGCAATAGGGAAGCTGGAGCATCCGGACTAGTTTGAATCTTGGAATCATGGAGAATTAGCATTATTGAAAAATTTTTGTTAGTTTTTTTGTTTTAGGTTAGTTGTGGTTTGGTTTGGTTTGGTGGTATAGGTTACTGATAGTGCCACGCGGATATAGTGGGAAATGCACACCGCCATCTTATTGAGCATAAGAAATAGAATCAGAAACAACGTAGTTTAATCTATAGTGGCCTAATATTCACCGCTAAATAATGAAAATATCCCCTGCATAGCACCACTTAAGTAACATCATATTTACCTTGCTAGGAAAAACAAATCACTGGCAGCATAACTCATTACTGTGATATCCCAAGTAGTTCATGTGTTACTCTGTGCTTGTCAAAATTATATTTTTCTAATAATTAGTGCCTGCTGTTACATATTTTTGCTTTTAAAGTCTTTTATTAATGTTGTTATACTTCAGTTACGCGTTTTAAGATTTATCTCTACAATACTTAGAATGATCTGTGCATTCTGCTTTTCAGACTTTCATTTGCCATTCGTGACAGAAGGCCGGTGAGAAATGTTGCGTTTCCAGTGTTGCGTTGATTCTGGGTTATTCTCAAGACTATATAGGGGCAACAAAGAAGAAATAGCCTTTAGTAACCTTCTCAGTTTGATATCTGAGCCCATCAAGAGCCTCAAATTCAGAAAAAAAGTGATTAGAAACGAAGCAATCCAGACAGTAGAAAGAAGTGAATGAAAGTATGACATTTCCAGATATAAAAGTATTTGGTTTATTTTTTTTACTGTGGGAACCCACTCTATTTTGCCGTACGTACTGAGGTGAAGGGAATGTTTCCTGCTAGATGTTTGGGGGCAAAGCTCCCCATCAACCCTCCCCTCGGGGAGTTGGGCACACGTAGTCACAGCAACTTAAATTATTAGATTAGGTTGGTATATTGGTTAGTACATTTTTGGGGGGTTTGGAACGTGTGAGGTCCTGTAGATTTTACCAAAAGGTGGGTAGGATTTTTTTATTTTTTTTTATTTATTTCTTTCTTTTTGGCATGTCAGTCCATAAAATTTCAAAGATGGTGCTGATGTCTGTAGATTTTAATTGGCATTATTTATGCTGGTTTTAAGCATTGAGTATTATATATTATATATTACATATGTTATTTATGATATGTTAAATGTATTATATATAATATGTTACATATATTATATATAGTATATTATATATTACATACATTGCATATTAATATATCACATATTATTATCATTATGTTTTGTTAAACGTTTTTATTACCTGGTATGTAGATCAAACAGTCGTAGATGTTAGGATATTCAGTGTTTGGCTCCAAATTTTGGCAGGTAGATGAAATGGATACTTAGCTGCACAGCGTATAGTTTGGCTTTATGATGCCTTTTTGACTTCGTATTTTAATGTATTAAAGTATTCA